GATTGGCACAAGAACTGAACCTTTCCCTTTCTTCCCTTATAAATTAGTCTGTATTGTTTATGATAATGGTTGGACGATAGTATATGAAGTTATTAAGGATTTTTTCTAGAATTTCAAGGATCTCAAATATCATTTCACCAGTTTGTCAGTACTAACATCATTCAATAATTGTTTATTCCTTCTTTAAAACAGTATAAAATCATAATTACTTGAAGAGTAACGCGACAAAAAAATATATAAAGTTGGTAGTTATACCATAAAATGACTAATCGTAGTAATATTACAAATGCGAAAAATGGATGGATGGATGGAAGGATGTTTGTTAGAGAATGTAGCCTAAACGGCTGAAAGGATTTCTATGAAATTTGCCATAGATGTAGAGGATAGTCTGGAAGAACACATAAGCTACTTGCATTTGTTTAATTCCGCACGGACGGAGTCGCGGGCGAAAGCTAGTGTAAAATAATAATTTTTGCTTCTAAAATATATTCCTTCATGTTAATTAGAAGTTCAGTCGTCTGGCGCGTGGTTATAACATCAAATAAACACGTGTAACGACAATCAGCACCAAATGTTTAAACAAATTATCTTCTTGATTAAAAATGTAATTTACAAATTACAAACAATTAGAATGTAACCAATGGTTCAAGATTAAAAAGTGATACGTCGTTTATATAAGTCGAATACAAGTTTATTCTGTTTTTGAACTACCTTTTCGGAGGAGTAGAAAACTTTTATATCATTTGATAAAAAAACATCTGATTTTTATCAAATGATGTAAAAGTTTTTATCCCAGATAATGGCTACATTAAAAAAAAACTTTTAGTTCTTCAAGACTACGTTCAAAGTCTGCGTAAAATGTCATCCAAATTCATCCAGTTTTTCCGAAGTTACCTAGTTTCAAACAATCAATCTTTCGCATTGATAATGGATAAATTTATATGTATGTTTTCAAATGTATGTACATATTTAAATTGCAACACAAAAACAGTTATCAATGCGATCAGAGCTCGGCTTATCTGAACTTTAGTCAGAGCAACTCATCACCATCACAAAAGCGATTGCGTGAATACTTAATCAAGAACGTACGACGGAAATGAATAAATTTTAGACTAGAACGTCTTGTGTAATTGTATTAGAATATTGATTTGCAAAAAATATATTTAAGTAAATTCAACCAGTGCAATACCGGCGTTAGGGCAAGGCGCATTGGTGCAACCGCCCAGAGCGCCTGACATAAAAATACCAAAAGTCTGTTGAGTACTCTTACATAACACACTAAACCTCTGCACCCCTGGTAAAAAGGTGCCTTAGTAATCAAGCCTAGGGCGTAAGTTAAAACAAAACCGGCAATTATCAGGTGTCTATTCTTGTTTATTTAGTTTGGATGGATGGAAATGCGTTTGAAACAGGAAACACTATTTTTTTCTGCGACAATGGAAGATGACGCCGGTACGATATTTTCGTTTCCAATCTTGATGTTAACATCACCTGATGACTCTTAAAGATAAGAATAATCTCAGGTCTTTCATAAAAAATCTAACAAAGTATTCTCTTATTCAACCACTATTTCCGTTACCTACATGTTTCATTTATATATAGTTTGTCTAAAGTTGTATGTAAATATCTTTTTTCTTAACTAGAAACACGCCTTGACTTTGGAGAGGCCAGAGGTAAAAATCGAGCTACAAACTATCCTATTGGTAAATTTTTATTAAACTAAATGTATGTTTACATTTCATAAGCATTTTGGTAAAAATATTTCTCATTCCTCTCAACGTCAATAATTATATCAAATACTAGCTGATCCCGTGCGATTTCATCCGCATATAATTATGAAAATTTTATTTTATTGTTTACATATGTTAAATTATCAATTGCAAATGTCAAAATGACATGACGATGACAAACCATGGCAACATTCCTTCCTTGATGTTGGTAGCAACTTATGGTCTCTTTCCCACATTAGAATTTTTATCCAAAATATTTACCCCCTAAGTTTAATGGCGTGAAAATATATATTCTAAAGCGAGACGTAAGTGTAGGGCTTTTTATTTAAAAAAAAAAACAATTATTCATAAATATGCTGAAATTGCTGACATCTTAGACAACAAAGAAGTGTGTGTTTACGCTTTATTATAATAGTATAGATGAGTGAGGTAATGTTTAAAATATTCTATAAAGTAATTGAAACTAATTTAATAACATAGAGTGAAGTAATCAATTACCAAACAGATCTTTTCTCCAAAATTAATATCACCACTACAACCGGCCTTCGGAACTATAGATTAACTTGCAATTAAAATCGTCATAACTGCATTGAACCGGTTTTCTTGTATGAAGACATTGTATTATCGAAACAGTTAATATGTAAACACACGAGTACAGCGCGTGGCCTTTCCATAAAAGACGGAAACTACAATATTTCACCTTAAAACTTGATCTTCAGTCTTTCAGAACCATATTTGGCTCTTGTGACAATTTCACTGCAAGGTTAAGTAAAATGTCATAACATCTGACTTTTCTAACAAATTGGTTTTGTAGTTGAACAACAGAATTATGAGCCAAGATGACTAGAGATTCGATTATTTATATTAAGAAAAAGATTTAACAGTAAGGAAATTAAATATAAAGGTCTTTCGCTTTTGACTTTTTGTTAACTTTAAAAAAAAAGTAGCAAATAAATGCAACGATGATGATAAATAATACACTTTACTTTATGTTTATAAAATTAACAAATATAGCTTTTGATCGCGACACCGTACGCGCGAAATTAAAAAAATCAAACAAAAGCGAGTAGCCTATGTGTTTCAGAGTATCAGCCACATCTATGCCAAATTAAATAGAGATGCGTTCAGGCTTAAAAACAATCATCCATTCATCCATCAAAATATTCCCAGTTATAGTATCACTAAGATATAATAATACAAAATAAAAAAGTACAGAAGAATTGAGTACCTCCTTCTATTGGGAAGTCGGTCAAAAATATAACAATACAAAATCTGCAAATATAGCTTTTTCTTATGTTTACAATCTTGTGAATCATAGAAAATAATTTTTACGATCAAGTCAAACCACGATTGAAGCAATGGAATTTGTGATTTTTCTCGATTCTAAAATGTTTACATAATCAAAGTAAACTAAAATCCGTGAATAACAATTAGATTTACCCATTGTTTTATAAAAACATCATACATAGGTAACTAATACTATATAACCTATGTTAGAATGATTACATCATTAATCTTCTATTCAAACATTTGTAACATTTTTAGTTAAAATGCGTGTTATTTCGTCCAAAATTTAAAAGATATATTTTAAAGTTAAAACATGCGTTGCTTTACATTTACGTGCTCAATTTTTACAATCAATTTAGGAAAAAAAACATAAATTAAGTCAATAAATTACCTGAAAAAAAAAATAACGCACTTTGCATTATGTTACGTAAATTAGACTCTGTACTCTGTAAAGACATTTGCATGATCAAGGACGCTAAAGTTGCTACGCTCTCTACTAGGATTCTTATGGTCACTAGAGTAATTTGTTGCTAGAGTAACCATTAAGGAACGTATGTTATTTACTTTTTTAGTATAGATAATTCTATATTCGATAGTCACTAAGACCGTGTCGTACAACTGTTTAGACTCGCTTTAATTCGTATGAGGTTATATGGAGGTGTACACATTACTCGACTTGTAGTTGTGCAACTAAACAGTTGAATTGACTGCGAAATAATCAATAAAACAATCGCACAATAGTTAGGCGATAGTTTAGTTAAGTGTGCGTCCGCTCTTATTGTAAGCATTTATAAAGTACGTATATAAATATAGAGTTTATAATTTTTAGGTTATGATTATTCCATTCATCACAATAACAAATGGTACATCAGAATAATGGAGAAAATATGAATAGGTCAAATGAAACAAAGGCGGTAGCCCCATTGTATTGTATGCAATTTTTTGTTATAGTTTTCTGTTTTTATTATAATACATAAATGAACAAATATTTAATCATTTATTGATGGAAAAGTTGAAGATAAACGAACCTTCTTTTTCTATCAGTATCTCTCTTATTTTATTCAGCTACGCCATCTTATTTATTCCTAATGTTTTCTTGACTACATAGCCCGTTCGTCCGGAGCTGTATTACGTCTACACAGAAGACAGGCGTTAGTAGATTGTTTGAAATACGATTTCAATACTTGGAAAACAAAGTCCTAATTATTATATTAAAAAACACGGCTTAACTCACGTTACTTCGGTATAGGCACCGACATTTTTGTAATTAAAGTAAAGTTTTAATAAGTTAATTCCTAATTATTACTAAGAAATAATTACAACCAGATTTGTAAGGGTTCAGTTGAAAAGATACAAGAAAGGGACTTGTAGTTTATGTATTTACAAAGCCAAGGCTAATTTAGCTGATGAAGCGGAAACCTTGATCTCCAAAGTTCAGGTTCAGTGAGCTTGACATTCACCCTCCCCTTCAAACATCACGCGCAACTTTTCTTAGCGTGAGTTCGCACTGTCGGACAATTTCAAACAATATACGAGATTTTTCGGCGTAATTTCTGTCAAATGTGCTTAAATTTTATCGTTGTCAATACATTTTTTTCGTGCTAGGCACTAATCACAATTCTTTTGTAAAATCACACAGAACATTTTGAAAAATTAAAAAATCTATGCGTTTCCTAGAAAAAACTTGAAAAAAAATATTTGGAAATTAGGCTTAAAGTAACAGTAGTTAGTATTTTACATCTGGATTGACAATAAAACGATTAATTTTATCTCAAATATATATTTCATAAATTATAGTCAAAATAAAAACCAATCAATATTTAAACCAAATAATAGATTATTTGTGTGATTGAATATTTGGAATACATTGATAGTATACCCAAAAAATAATATTAAACAGAACATAAATTGTTTAATAAACAAGAGTAAAAATATTTTATAAAGCAGTCATTTACTTACATTTCATAAGAAATTTGACAAAAAAATTACATTTTAATTACCACATTTCTTTTATTAATTCTGTAATTAATGTCTTTTACTAATTAATAGCAATTAAAATTCCCTGTCAATATTGATAATTACAATATTTTTAATATTACAGCTCAAGTCTATAAGTATCTTAGTTCTAAGGCTTCTTGTGACTTCAATTATATTTGTGATGCTTTGCTGATAACATAATAATTTGGAAGGAAATTTGTTGCCTATTTATTTCACAACATTATTTATATTTAGACTCCCTGAGTCCGTAACCCTGCCATACAAATATAAATAAATACTAAATTATTCAATTAACAAAATAACATTGAGATTGAGAGAATTTTCATTATTCATTCCCCACAACCATGCTTAATATTGCACAATATTAATGTTCCACATTTCCATACCCAAACAGTTTCTACCTAAATTAAGTTACCTTAAGGTAGTGTCCACAAAGATTTTAATATAATATGTCCCAATCATACAACAGATAAATAAATAAAAAACAAACACAAGTTGGAATATCTAAGCTCACTATTGTAACATCATTTGGTAATGCTTTAGTTATAATTGAAATAAATTCCTACACCAAATGCTATAGAAATTAAATGCCTGTTAATTAAAGCTTCCTTTCATATGTACGTCTTCTTTGTTCATCTATCCGCACCAGGTAGTATGTGCCTGGGAACAAGACATCTGTTGGCCCAGAGGGCTCATAAGGTGCAGTGTGGTAATTCTGTGTTCTCACATCCATAAGGTCGGAGAACACTTGTGGTTCAACACATTGTCTCTTGTTGAGCATTCCAACTGTTTCATTCAATGAGTTTATTAAGCGCTCCAACTTTGACCCAACACTCATATCTTTGCATATGTTAATGGAATACATTGTAGATGCAAGACCAGAGCCATATGAAAACAGAGCAAACTTCTTACCAATCAATTGATCTGGTGACTTGCTAACCAAATATGACACCAGGCCACCATACAATGATGGTGTATACATATTTCCCACATTCCTGGCAACATGCAGGGAAGGTTTTGTTTTCTCGTTAAATAATTTTTCACTGTAAGTCAGGAATGCCTTCTCTAAATCTCTATCAAAATATGTTTCCTCCCTTTTGTGATTGTTGAACTGTGATAGCCCAGGGAATTGCTTTTCACGCTCCGCAGATGATGCATTAAGGAAATCATTGAAGCAAACTCTACCCAGAGATTTTTGTACTAATTTACAATAAGGAGAGTGGAATAACATACCATCTAAACTTAATAAACCCTTAAAATCAGGGTTTTCCTTCCTCATTTTCTTACAAAACAGATTGTAACAATTATCTAGAGCACTCAAGTAGCATTTGATGGACAATTTTCCATCAACATATGGGAATTCAGAAGCTAAATCTGGCTTATAGAAGTCATAAGCATGTGTCATATATGATGCACGGACACCACAGTCAAAGACTAAGGGGGCATCAGGGCCAATTAACATAGCCACAGCTCCAGCACCACCAGTTGGTCTAGCTGGTCCTTTACCATACACCGCTATATCCCCAGCTACAACAATAGCTTTTCTACCATCCCATGACGATGATTCTACCCAATTAATTGCATTAAAAAGTGCTGCAGTACCTCCATAGCAAGCATTTGTTGAGTCAATACCTTCTATATCTGTGGCTCCTTCTTTGGCAAATAATGTCATCAAAAAGGTCTTCACACTTTTGCTTTTATCAATAATTGTTTCAGTACCAACCTCAAGTCTGCCAATATCATGCAAATTAATGTCGTTCTTCTCAATAAGTCTATGTAGAGCTGTCATACAGATAGAGTTTATATCTTCTCTGTCAGAACAGAAGCCCATCTTACTTTGTCCGAGACCAATTGTGTATTTACCCGTGCCGACTTCGTCGAATTTTTCTAAATCCACTTGATCCACGTATTGTGAAGGAAAATAAAGTTCCATGGCAAGAATGCCTACATTATGGACTTTTGCAGACATGATTTAAAGGGATTATATTTCACGGTTACAGATACACGTTTAATTTAAGAGTACTTTACGCACGTACGTCTGCACCTTGCGCCGATCTATACAGACTGGTGACCCCACCGTCTCGCCCGCTACTCGTTTGCTGTCGACGTCAGATCTACACGTTACCGAAGTGAACGAATCATACCATTGACCTACAACGGTACTATTTAACCAACTTTCTTTTACTCTTACGCAAATGACCGATAACAAATTGTAATTATAAAAAAACGACAATTCATAAATGTAAGACTGGCTGATAACACTGTCCTTGTTATTGAACTTGATTTTTACTTTCACTTTGATTTATGAAGTTACATATACTATACGAAATTATTGCAAAAGAGCTGTATCGTATTGCAATTTTCTTTCCATGTCAAATTCTTTCGGTTCGCTCATGTGACGTGACGTGACCAATTTTGAGGTTATCTGCAACGTCAAAATAAAACGTCAAATATCACTTTACGTTCTGTAATTCTGTAACGGCTTGGAGCTTATTGTATATGCTGAATATCATACAATATTTTTCAACAAGATTTACATATTAATTCTGACTTTATCATCACATTTTTAACCAAAACAAGTATTTATTCATTAAATAACCAAATGGTTCAGGCGTAATTTCTTTTATCGTTCAAGAAATGGATTAAAACTTATTTCATTTCCGTAATAACCATTTTGTTGATTGCTTATCCATTATTTAAGTAAAACATTTTATTATTACATTAATCTCGACACTGTTTCTTTTATCTATTCACTTTTTTTTACGATGGAATTCAATCCATACATAGTAATGTTTAACGAGGTATGTTTTGTAGGCACTTAAAATTCTCATGTCGTGCCACTTTCACTTCGTTAACGGTCATCAATGAACAAAACTCGTCCCAATTGTCACGAAAAGCTGCTTCGATCTGCTAAATAAATTACCTATATTACATATCTATCAAAAACTTTTGTATGTCTGTTCATATTAATTTTCTCAACAATGTCTCAAAACTAGCAAAAACGTACCCTTTTACTACATAAAAGATAATGGTCTACCTGTATCAACAGATCACTTTACATAACATGTGATTCTTACGCCTTTGCCTAATCCCTTCCTCATTAAAAAACTAACATAGTCATAAAAAGGCCATCATTAAATTTTGTAAAATCTAACAATAGCAGTTAAACATTGCCTGCAATTAACGATAGTCAACACGCGATCCTCACGGTCTATAACTCATGGAATTAAATTGCAAGTGCAAAGAAATTATTTTTGCAATTACTTTCCGCATCTGCAGGTAAAGTAAACTGACGTCATTTAATATGTTAAGTTAAAATAGAAGAAATATGATGGATTCTTTTATTGAAGACGTATCAAGACGATTATTAAAAAAGTAAATAACTTTATTTCATCTATATTAAATTAGCTGTTTTTTAAGCAGGTAAAAACGTTCACATCGGGGTCAATGTACCTATGCATTATGCACACGTGCATAATTTAAATAAAAGAAAAAAAATATTTTAAGACCTGAATCATTTTCAATCATAAAAACGGTAATAAATACAGACATTTTATTGATTTACAAACAATTTAATTCATAATTTAATTAATCAGGTAATTACATATGTATAAAAAATAAATAAATTATAAACTTTGTTCGCTAGTGTAAGGTCACTGACTTATTTCATATTTATTCTTCCTAGTGTAACTAATGGCTACAACGTACTTATAAGATCAAAACAAACAAATTAGGCATACTGCATACAGCTCGGTATATTGATGCTTATGTCATTGTTAGATTTTTTTTAATACAAGGTGGCAAACGAGCAAGCGGCCACCTGAATCCATCGAAATGGAGAGCGACCGCTGCCCATAGACATCCGCGATTGCAGATGCGTTGCCTACCATTAATTGACGGAGGAGGAGACGCACATAAAAGGGAACATTTCCCTACATCTCCGTCGAAAAGAAGGCTACATTAAGTTTAGTTTAATCAAGGCATTGATGGATTCAAACCAAGAACTTCCAAGTTTACAACCCAAATACATAATTCACTAAGCCAGTGATGCGAAAATGTTACAAACAAAAAAAGTTGTAAAATACGCTTTTTTGTTACAATTTTTTGATCCATTATTAATGTCCACGTATACAAGTAACTACACGATTATGTAAAATAAAAAAAAAAACAGAGAAGGTCAAATCATGAGTATTACTTAATTAATCACATGAAGGCAACTTTGTTTTAAATATTTTTTTTCAGGTATGTAGTTAAAAGTCGAAACAATATTAGCGTCACGATTGGCGTTTTGGAAAAAAATATTTTAAATATTCAATTAAATTTTTCAACATTTTGAACTTTTATTGTGAGTTGGACATAACAAATATACAACTGTCGTAATCAAAATGAGGTCTAAATCAAATGACAATTATTTTAAATTGTTTTTAATAATTTGATATTTGTTAATGTCTTTGATCATTAAACATTGACACATTGACTTGATTGTCATCAACCAATTATCTTGGTATATGTAATTAGTTTTTAATAGTTTACATAAACAAATGAAAAGGAATCTAAAAATATTTTATTTGGGAAAGCCCAAAACCAAAGAACTAAATCTAAAAAAACATTTTTTTTTTAATCTCATATGGACCAAAACATTTTTTGCATGCTAAAACGTTAAAAAGCCAGATTCGAAGTCCAAATTGTCTGTACATTGAAAATCGATTTATCAAAGAAGACGAAATGTTTTTCACTGAAAAATAATAAAGAAAACAAAAAACTCAGCAATTATGAAATATATTGTTTCCATAAAAAAACAACATTTCTTACATAACAAGGTACCTTAATCAACAATCTATTAATTTACAAAATGCGTTAGAATCGTGTCAGGATGGCAATTAAACAACACAATGGCTTCCATTTTCACGTCTTCTCCTTCCGTGAGATATACATTTTGTGAATTTGTAGAAACGAACACCTATATAAGAAAATTTGGTATATATTCGGTTGTCTCTTGTACTAAAGTCGGTAGTTTTAAGTGTCAAATTTAAGTCGGAAATCTGGTTTTTCCGATTTTTTTTACAAAAAATTAAATAACTTTCTATCGAAAATCAGGCAACAAATTTGCGCTTAAATGACTATTGAGGTCCTGCACAAAACCATTGATCCGTCTGTTAAGAATCACCCTGTGTATATTACTAACCTGTGGGATTTATTCGTGTTTCGAAATCATCTTCAGGACCAAACACCCTTGATTCTTCGTCCCCGTACAGATCCTAAAAAGACGTAGGTTTATTATATAAGCACTTGACTCGTAATCTATAAGTCTTGGGTTCGAATCCCATTTTCGATGTTTCGTATTTTCATTTGTACATAATTTACCCGACGTTCTTACGGTGAAAGAAAACATCGTGATGCCTGCACATATCGGCGAAGAAATTGAAAGATATGTGTGAGGTCAACCAAACCGCTGTGCAGCGAGGTTGACTATGGCCTAGTAACCACTAATTTGGGGTAGGCTCGGAGCCTCTAAGTGGGTACTCAGTGAGCTGGTAATGATTAACTTTATTTGCTATCTTTTGAACCGCATGGTCGCTTGATTATAAAGCCATGGAAACGAACCTTTACTTTATAAGTTTGTTTAGGTATCTTCATTTGGAGGGCGCTAGCTCTTAGTATATGCGGAGCACCGTCCTCTCGTAAGTTCACAAAAGCTATAGCGTAAGATCCATCGACTAATTCTCGAGTCCAGATCTAAAGGAAAAGACATATTAAGAATAAAGGTAATTTAAATTGGAGTTATTATTCTAAACCATGAACACTAGTATTTATTATCTTACTAGCTTTTGCCTACGACAATAATCAGCGTGGAATTAAAAAAATTAATTAGCCTATGTGTTTTACTAGACTATCCTACAGGATACACGTCTATGTCAAATTTCGTCCAGGTCCATTTAGGCGTTTAGGCTGCGAAGTCTAACAAACATCCATCCATCTAAACTTTTGCATTTACGATATTAGCAAGATTTTATTTTGTTTTTCATAAGTAATTATTTTTCTAGTTATAATGATCAATAGGCAATAATTGCATTGAAAATCTTACTTTCAATGCTTCTATTATTATTGTTACTTTACAATAGAATAGAAAGATATTACAATGGAAAAAAAATATAAACGTTTTTCAAACCTAATTGAAATGGAAATTTCTAATAAATTCTTAAGATTATCACCTCGCAATTGGATCCGCTCCATACTCGAAGTCCCTGCTTCCCGAGGGGATCTTGGTCGACCTTAATGATGTCTTTGTTGA